TACGTCATCTTGCATACATGATTTATCATAATTTTGTCTATCATATAATATTAATTAAAAAAGTTCATGATTTTAAAGTTTTTCTTTTTCGCGTTAAAAAAAATGATTTAATCAGTTTATGTTCTAAACTAGATTATTATCTTCCCCAGTATCACCGACACTTTTTCCACCCCCACGTGATTTTGTAATATTCATCACCGGCATCACACCCCACCGCGTTTTTACTGTTTATATTTATCTGAGGGACTTAATTTTTTTTTTGCCTCACAAAATTATTTTTTTCACATCCCTTTAAATGTCACCGGTCACGTGGGGTGGAATTTAATTATAAAAGTGTCGGTGATGCAAAAATTATCTTTTTGACCCTGTACGACATCCTTTTTTGACCCTCCTATATGTAATACAGTATATGCAGGTCAAAAAAATAACACGAGGAGGGTCAAAAAGGTAATTTTTGCGTCAGTGATACTGGGGTAAATCTAGATTATTATTATGATCATGTGATTTATAGCAATTTAACAAGTATAACGAAATAATCGGTTACTCGGCCCATTTTCTATTTTTATAATGAAAAATATAATATATAATTATAATATATCACAAATATGACTTGTGACTAAATGAACCAAATTAATCACAATCATCTATCATTTAGTATTAAAAAATTTGTTCGAAAATACCAATTGAAATCGTTATCCATAAACGAAAAGAAAACATTAAATTATTGATGTACTCACCATTGAGACAAATAACCATCCAAAAAATCATTTTCATGCCTTCTCCTTTTTCTCTCATCATCACTACTGTTACTATGACTACTACTGCTGCTGCTGCTTCTGCTTTATGATCGTGAACGCCGATGTTCACGATATTGGTATGTACGTTTATCTCATTGTTCTCCAATAGATTCTTCGATACTGATCTAATAATAAAAATATAAATATAAATTTAACAAATCAGCAATATATACAAAGTATCATAATTAAAATCAATCAATTACTGGTTTCAAGCCAAAATTCATCGCTAAGTTCATTAAAAAATCGAATATCGTCTGATTTTTACTAAATCACACCATTGACGCTCAACGCCATGGTGTGCGTTTTCTCAAAAACTATAGTCTGAACAAGTTATATTAATTAAAATTGCTCAGCATCCTCGAAAATAGTCAGAAAAAAAATTTAATTAGTACTATTTTTTATATTAAAATAAAAAAAATTCGGAAAACTTATAAGAATATATGTGAAGTATATGCCGCAGAACTAAATACTGCAAAGTGGAATATAATTATTACCCTGTAAAAAAAGTCGATCCATTTTTTATATTCCATTTTTCTTCTCATATTTCCGGAATTAATAACCTTATATCACGGAATTTACCGAATTATTTACATTTTTCATGAATTGATCTGTGAAAGGCTCATTTACGGAATTTTTACAGAAATAACGGATAAAATTTTTTATAGGGTTATATTAATAGAATCAGCTTAGCTAATCTACTAATAATATAAAATAAAAAGTTAAAGTGACAAATAAAAATACAAAAATACATAAATCATATAACAATGGCGTTGAGCGCCATAGCATGTTTATAATTTTTGAAAAAAAGTTATTTTACTATGAAAAGCAAGACGAATCCTTTATAATAAATAAATCATTGTATAAATGAAAAAAATTTACTCATGATTTTTAAATATCAGATATCCAACAAATATGGTTTTAGTCAACCTTTTCTCATTTTAGAAACTATATTTTTAATACTTTGTGCTATAATTAAACTGTGACTTATTATTCATATTATTAATAAATTATTGAAAATATCCAATGATTATGTATGTGATGCAGTAATAAAACCAAATAAATCAAATGAATGAAAAGAAGGTTTGGTTAAAGAATGGAACTTTATCATTTATTGTTACTATTATTATCATAAACTTATTATCATTATGCGAAAATAATTTAATAATACATTTATATCGTAAGTAAAAATTTTGGAAAAAATCAAATGAAATTATACGCCTTGTTGCTTCTTTATTTTCTTTCCAATTTGAGTTTAGTTTCGATACACGAATATGATTTACATGATTTTATGTAACCAAAGGAATTTGTATTCCGAGAATTTTAAACAATGAAAAATGGAATATATGGCTATTTGTATGAGAAGAGAAGAAAGGGATAAATCTACTAAAGTTTTTAACCTATGAGCGTTAATTAAAAATAAACGTGTCTTTAAATTACTGTAATTACTGTGCACTTGCACTTGTTACACAAAACTAACGTATTTTTCCCGCAGTTTGTATACTAAGTTTAATCAGGGGAGAAACAGGTACTGAAACTTGTTAAATTAAAAGGAATTATGACGTTTGTGAATGAGTATGAAACCGAATTTAAGTTACTCCACAAACTTTTTTTTTTAAGACATTATCACAATTCACAAGTAATAAAATTGTCATTACCTGTTGGATCTCTTAAATTGGAATTGTTGATTTCCTTAGATGGTTGTAAATTTGTATTTATTTACTTATTGTGAAACCAGCTGTCAAATTTTTAACCCATTATTGGTCAATTAATAATTTTTAACCAAAAGTATGTTGTTACGTGTTAATAATATAGACATAATTGGTATTTTAATTTGTAATTTTTTCCTTTTTTATATATATTATAAAAATACAAGAAATAATAAGTGATCACGTGGAATAATCTGCCGTAGCAAATCGGATATTCTACGTTTAGATGTTACTCCACAAAAAAAATATAGCGTTAGGACTAAAGCATGTAAACTTACCTAATCAACCGTCTTGGAGATTTATTAAGAATTTTGTAAGGCTTTGATGGTATCTAAAATCCTCTTGCCCTTACGCTAATCCTCTTACCCTAATCCTTATCCTAATTCTCTCCAATTCCTCTTATAAATTAATCTTTCTACAAAAAAAATCTTATTCTAAATTAAACAGATCTTTGTTCTGATTATAATATTTGTAGTTACGAATATTGTTATTCATTTAATATGATTTTTTAACACAATCCTTTCCATTAAAGAATCTACAGTAAAGATGAATGGATGGGTAATTATTGGATGCGAATTGGTGTAGAAATCTGTACGACAATTGACTCAATTGACTCAAAATTATTATATGAGATTCAAAGTTCTGAACTTCCAACATTGTGATTGTGGGTTGTTACATTCCATTATATTATGTTTTTATTAAATTATTGCAATCAATTATAATCCTTGAATGTTCCTAGAATACAACGATAAACGTGGTAAAGAAAGTTATGTGACTATACAAAGAATCAATTTAAGAAGTTTATTTAAATTGGAAAAAACTGGAATTGTAGTAGATGTTACACTTTTAAAGAGCACACTAATTCTTGGTGGGAATCAACCACTTTAACAACTAACTATTGCTCTTAAATTCTAAATGTTCAAATTTTTATTTGTAGAATTGTAGTAAGTTTTTTTTTCATTTTTTTTGCAGTATAATCATTCATTTGCTAAATTAACAATATTTTTTTTATTCATTCGTTCGTAAAGCAATTGACAAACATATCAAAACAATGAAAGGAGAATTATATGAGATAAAGAATTAAGAATATATAGTGATTTTTTGCGGATAAGTTATTTTAATTCCTCTATATAAACTACACAATCATATAAGTTATATAATTATATAATGTATCTGAATAGAAGTTACTTTGAAATTTCAAGAAATTGATGTTTCATTAGCAAAGATTAATTTCTATTAATTATTTGTCCTTCTTAATCTGTCCCGATAGTCGTTATAATCTCAGGGTGCTAATTAGAAGACGTAGATGAGGTTGATTATGAATTTAATGAATAGAAATTCAAGTTTAACAGGCAAGAAATTCAAATTAAGAACAAATGATTGATGGTGAAATCTTCATGTTATTAAATAAACAAAACCTCGAAGATTCTCCATTCAGATTTCCGGATGGATTTATTTTGTTGATTGAAGATTTAATCAAAAAGCTTAAAGTCAAGAAGGAGGTAAAGAATCATAACTTATGTTGCTAAAGCTACCGCACAATACAAAATAATTAGGTAACGATATATAGTGTACTACACAAATGTCAGTCTTAATGGATTTTTGTTAAATGATCGACAAATGCGAATTATTTTTTAACGGAAAACTATGTTATTCCCATGGATAAAAAGATCATCAAATGAATTCCAATAAGGCGTGATTAGACATCGCAGATCCATGAATACGTAATGGTTTTCATACACTTTCCAGAAAGTTCGTATTGCTGATTACCATATCATAATTTGTATGGTCGACGATAACAGGATATTTATGGGAATGAAAATTGGAATATAAATACAGTATTGGTTAACAATGGGCCTCTTAATGTATCAAACTATGCATTTCAGATGATAGAAGAATAGTGCATTACATATAATGACGATCATAATATATTTTTTATTGATAGACAAACATAGTAAAATGGCGCAGTTGATCCATCTAACGGAAAGCGATGCTAAATAGATAGTTAAGGAGTATTGTGCCATCGGATGATAGAAACGTCAGCATGTAGTTGCTACGTATAATAGCGAGCATAATGGTTTTTTTACTAAGAGTAGTTGCATAAGTTCCACAAAAAATTCTCAATACGGATTAACTGATAGGCAGATAACGAATTGCAATAGTTTCCAGAAAGTTTTGCATCTAGACACTCTTTCAGGGAAAAGTCAAAGTTAAAAAATCACTGCTATAAGAATTTTTCTTTAAGCATGAAGTATTTATTCATTTTTCAAAAAATTTTTACATTACTATGAATGTAGAAATGACATTTTTTCTGAATAAAAAGCAATCTTCCTATATAATATCAGTTAAGCAAGAGTTCTAAGCATGAATATTTATTAATTTTTCAAAAAATTTTTACATTATGAATGTATAATCGATATTTTTATGAAAAAAGTAATCTTCCTACATGACCAATGTAGAAGTTTTAAAAAAATCACCGTACGTGAAATTATTGAGACTAATTGAAAGCGTGATCGCAAGGCTCTATTTCATAGTTACCATTACTTGATAGTTTATTCAACCGGATCACTGAGTGGGCTACATCTGGTGTGCCGGCTTGTCGCCGAGCCCTTTAGCAAAAAAGGGTAAGAAAACAAATATATTAAAATATCTAAAACACATTCTCGTTAACATACCATTGTGGTAATTGACGTACACATTTGGCAAGTTCTGTGCCAGTGTTGAAAGCAAACATAACATGTTTGTTTTCGACATCATCCCCTTCGGCATCTTTAATACTGTCGATCAATGTTTGTAGATTGTGAGTCGGATCATTATCCCGACTCCCGTTTGGTTGGTTAAACGAGGTTTCATCCCAATGTATGTACAAAATGGGATCGTCTACTTTTTGTTTTCTGATGCCGGCTAATAATAATCTACAGGTCTCCGCATCGTTTAAGATGTGGAGAGGTATTAGATCTGTTTGTTTTAAACATCATTCTTTTAATATTTGTAACATTTTTATAAGAAAAAATGAGTATTGCTAAATATCACCAGTGGACCAAAATTAGAGTTTCGAGAAGAGTTAAAAATGGTCTGAAATTCTGACCCACTGATGAGATTTAGCAATTTTCAAAAAATATCACCCGTTCTAATTACCTGTACAATCTTTGTTGCATAGGTTATAAAGTTTGTTGGTGAAGGATCTCTCGGGATTTTTTTTGAATACTGAAATGCAAAAAAAATTAATCTTGGCAACTCGTCAGAAGTGAAATAACAATATTAAAAAAAATTACGTTTTGAGAGGTTCTTAATAGCCGACATTTTTGCAATTAAAATGTGAAAGTGAAACAATTGATTAGGATAACTATCTAATTTATAATTTATTGATCTGATCTATTGACTAATACTGATTATTTATTTCACTACGATAGGACCCCGGACAATTGTGGGGGAAAATAATCATAAAATTTGATTTTTAAGCATATGATATTTATGATATGGACATATGACTTTATAGGCGATAATTGTTATTATTGATTATTTAAATTTTTTTCATTATTAGTTTCTCTGTTTACAATAATACAAATTTTATATACTTATTTTTTGATTGTTTACTTAATTAATCCTCCACCCCTTGATTTTTTGAATGTTAAACAAACAATCAAATTGGAGCAACCTTAGTAAAAAATACTTTATTTATTTTTTCAGAACATTCAGTACTTCTAACAAAAAGTTTTATCCTTTGTGATTGTAAAGTTTCCAAAAGCTGATCATTTGTTCAAATTTTTCAAATGAAACGATGATTTGATTTTATCACCAAACAATTCTCGTGCTACAACTTCTAGAGGTGGTGCACCACCAAAATGTGGTACACGACGTAAATATAATTTAACTCTTTTATAATTTAAACCAATACAAATTTCCTTTTCTTTGAAGTTTCTGATTCTTGAGCTGAAACGAAATGTGTGACAGGTTACGCCGAAATGTCAAATTATCTGCCATAGGGATAAAACAGAGGGAATCTGATTGGTTCATCAGCTACATTAATTATTTGTTTATCGTTTAACACGATAAAAAACTTTTCTCTTCACTCTTTCCTCCCACTTTTCTTCCATTTTCATGTTTTAAAGTTATTGTTATTTAATATAGTTAAATATTTTTCACCAGCAGCAGAACTTCAAGTGTAAAATATTATTATAAGGATACGGTTTATAGAGATTTCACAACATAATTTCAAGCATTTGGTCGTATTAAACAAATGAAAAATGCTTAAGGAAAGTTGTTTATGAGGTATGAGATGCTTGTATATTAATTTGTATTATGTTATGGATTTTTTTTTATAATACTAAGACGCGTTTTGTTTTTTATTTCAAGTTATAATTTGAGTTTTGAACACTTTGGCCAAGAGAAACAAGTGAAATAAGCTTAATAATGTTCTGTAGATATTAAAGTTCATTCATGTATTGATTTATATGGAACTAGCCTAAATATTTGTGGAGTTATATTTTTTTTTTAATAATACTAGCGCGTTTTTTAAGTAATATAATATTTAATAAAATGCAAATGAACTTTTATTCAAATAATAAAATTGTGCTTCTTTATGATAATATTTAAAAGTATGACATTTTTTATTCTTTAACATTTTTATCTATTCACACTCGAGAACATGTTCTTGTCTCGAAAAGAGTAATTCCTTCGGAAGTGGAATGTTTGTTATACTGTAGAAACACAAAGCACTCTCCAGATAGTTTACATGAGAAGAAATTTAGTATCTTAGTGTAGCAATGGAGAAATGAACAAAGTAAAAGTTTCTTTGTTGTTCACTTACTTTCCACTTGAGATGTTCTGTGGAAGTATTGAACTCTAGAAATTCTCATAGCTTTCGGTATAAGATTGTTCCGATAAACAAGGAACCACAAGAAGTACTTGAATTCCGTGACTATGTTAATCCATTATTCCAGCTGCTCACAAAAAATGGTAAGAATGGTCTCCTGACCAAGTTAAAAATATCTTGAGCGTCATATACAACGAGATGGCATTTAAAACTCGTAGTCAAATATTAGTGGAATGGTTTCCTCCGTTTAACTGAAGAAGATCTTATCAATGTAAGCAGTCCGTTTACATTCCTTTGGAATACCCTTTAGGCATTTAAATACGAAAGCGAAGTGGATATTATGGGATTAGTAGAAAACTGTCATGATTCGTGGTGATAAATTGATGGAAAACTAGATAAGTTATATCTCTTTATTAAGTGATCTTGTTTCATTAGATTAGTCTATGAATTTTGTAAATAGAGTTCTTCATCTGATAAAGCCGTAACTGCTTTCAAATTCAGTGGAACTAGGCTTTTTCTAGAGTTCTGTGAAAAAAATACGAGAGAAATCGAAAACAAAGAAATGATAAATACAGTACAACCAACATCAGGGGTCAATAAACTTTGTTCTAATATCAATACTTTCCGTTCTGATATTGACTTAGTACTATTAAATATTTTCCACTCCCCTCGCTTTTGTTGGAAAGGATTCATTTGAAATAAATACCAGAACAACCATTCATGCAATTTATTATTTTTTTCGTTATCGTTGTGTAATAATCATATCAAATAAACACCTATGTACATTGCGCTCATATGAGGGAATAATATTGTTCACAATGTGTTCTCAGAAAATGAAATCACTATAGCTAAAATAAAAATAATTGATACGTTATCATCAGTATTATCACATCAAAATCTATTTCGTGATTATTATGCTTAAAGGGTATTCATAAAAATATATACAGCATACCTAAATATTACGTCATTTATTATGCAGAAAACATTCCGCAACAAAACTACTGATTAGGCTACTCTGCTATCTTATTTATCTTTGTCCTCGTTGTCGAAGTGATTGTGATTAACTATATTTCTATTAAGACAAGTTAACATCAGTAATTCTCTGATAGGTTCTCGTCACAACTATAATAGTATAATTGTCCACAGAAAGCTCTCAAACAGTAAGCTTCGAAAATATTAATCACAAGTTGTTTCTGACCGTCACGAGTCCTCTGCATATAAAGTCGGGATGGTCAAATTCTGCAGAAAGAATATTGGATAATCCTAGAATCACAAACCTATTGAGAAATTGTATCTTGGACTACCATGGGAAACAAAACACTTACCACAATGGGATTTATTATGAGAAATGTTTCCATTGCATGGAATGAATACCTTATCTTTTGTAACAGAATACGAATATATTGAAAATGGTCCATCATCTTCGGATAAGATTCGAGTTCATGAGGTAGTAACATACTCTCTTGATATCCTAACTGTTTCATCAAGTTTTGGATTGACACGAAGATAAACATCATACAACGATACATGATTGGGAGTTATCTGAAACTGAGCGCTGCTTTGCGAAAAGTTAACTTCCCCTTTGCAAGATCATTGGTTGAGAGTGGTGGTTAGCATGAAATAAGGTACACTAGATGTTATCAAAGTTATTATTAAAATAACAAGGATTAAATGAAGATTTGCTAACATATGAAATTCAAATGATCACATGATACTCTACAGAGTGTCATGTGAAACTTCCTCGATTCTTCTCGAAGCGTATCACGAAATAACTAGAATACGTTATTTTTTTTTCTAGAAAGATCCATCACATGACTAACATAGATTGTATCATACTTTCTTCAGTTAGTTTGTTGTACAAATGTAAACAAAGATTTGATTTCGAATGTTGTTCTACTATATTGGAAGAAGGGTAGACGAAAAGAACAATACAAACAAAGGAAAATTCGTTTTTAGTCTGGAAGAATTTTTTCAGAAATGTATATCCACTTAAATATCATATCCACGGTAACGTATCTGTCAAATTAATGTAAGACGAAGTGGCCTTAGGATAATAAAAAAATACTAAGCGGTACCCTCGGATATGGCCATTGTTGTCGAAATAAGGATATTTTTTTTAACATCATTAGAGTTCCTTCAGAACGACCAGTCAGAACTATATAGAATGTGTTTGATGACTGCCGTCAACAAATAGTGCACTGTAGTCTATACTAAAAATATTCTTCGATGTTACTCATTCTATGTTCTATTAATATCTATGTTCTAATATTCTGAGCGAAGTTTCAAACAAATAAAAAAATATACGGATAAAATGCCTGTTCTTTGAAAACCTTGTTATACTACGCTAAATGTCTTTCTTATCTATAATTTCAGAGATTAAGTTACATGCCCATATACATGATCACGTTTCTATACAAAAGGTGATAAAAGTAAATAATTACATTTAGTATCGACCGTTATGTTACTATTCTGATAACCTTTTTTCAATATTCTTTGCTATATCATCCATTAAATGATTTCGCTTTCTTCTTTGGCATCACTAGTGAGATGACACAAAGCCTAATTTCGTTCGTACACGAATCAACTTTAAGAATAGAGAGGAAGACATTTTGATTGTCGTATTTATCATTGAAAGCTGCAAAATTTAATCTCGTATAATGAACAACAACACTGGAATGAATTATAGATATCAACCGAATGGAACCAATATCAACTTGTCATCAAAACTTTGGTTACGTGATCAATGGGGTCTCTATCTTCAGATTGTAGCTATAAGTTTATTTTTCTAGCTATCTCTTGTTTTCGTTTTATGATATGGATGTATACGTCGAGGACAACCGAACCATAACGAACGATCTAGTTATCGCTCACAACTGTTCCTAATTATTAGCTTGAGTTGCATAACTTCGATACGGTATTGCCCTAATCAATAATGTCTTTGGTCACGAAGAACGATCTAAATGATATCATTAAACAATGAATTAATGTTTGTCAGTTAAATCTTGATAGGGCAATGATAAACGAAAAATCTTGATATAAAAATTACTTTCTGTATGTTCTTTTAACTATTTTCGAATCCATATTCGCAGTGGGACTACAATTCTTTTTAGTTCATGTTCGAGGAGACATTTTTCTTTCGCTATTACGAAGTCTATGTTACTGGACTGAAGCCAACTAAAGCCAAAATAAGAAATTCATGCCTGATTTTTTTGTTTCGAGGAATATTTGGATGAGATTCATTGTTGTAAATATTTCGATCGACTAGCGAAAAAATGATCAATATTGTACGACCAAGGTGGACCTATCGTATTTGGGTGCCCTGATTGTGATGATTGGAACCTTATCGTGATAATTGATGGACGGTTACACATGCTACTTAATTTGTAATATGTATATAGGTCTTTGTACCATAATAAAAAGGTATAATATTACTGATATCTGACTATTTTTTCGTGAATTGCTGAACATGTCGTCGGTCCTATAAAAGGAATAAAATGAAATCTTATCATAGAGATTCATCAGTATCATTTATCGTTTAAGGTAAAAACCCTTTAGATATAATTAAATGTCACATCCAGAAATAATCGACGCAAAAACTAGAGGATCGTATCCAGCACAGTCTATGCAATTGACGAACTTTGACCAATACGAACATATCCTGGGCGATAATCATATTGTTGACATTAATGTTAAAAAACACATCGAAGATCTGAAGGGCGCATTAGTCTTCTCAATTAATTGAAAGCATTACAAAAACTTACAGTAGTAAACTCTCTTTACTACTAAAAAATATGGAGATACTCTCAATCGTAGACTGCCCCACATGTTACATATTAAAAAGTCAACGATTCTTTATTACACAACTATTTGCATATTTGTCAAAGATAGATACATCCCGATGGTTATTTTATTAAAATGATTATAACAGTTACAGTACATAAAAAGTTAAAAAACGTTATAACTCTTTAATATCATATTCCTTTTGATCGCTACCATCTTTGTCACCGGATGAATAAATCAAATAATTATCAACTATTTCTGTGGGTTCGTTTTCATCATACTTGACTGGTTTAATTGTGTGACCGTCTACGATTTTGTGAAGAACAGAAGCTTCATGTTCATATAATTCTTCTTTGTTCCTAAATTCTTTGTCACACACGGTACACCAATCTGCTTTTCCTAAAGTAGAAATTTTGTCATGTTAATAAAAACATTATGTTTGATGCACTCGAGGTGTTATCACATATTGTATACCTAGAAGCTAGAACAACCATATGGATATCATCTTCATTCAGATTGCTAAAATGCTCCTTAATTCTTGATATAGCATATCGTATTTTTTCTCCACCAAGAAGGCTCTCAACAGTCTCGTCATCGTTCTTAAGTCTCTCAATTTTTGTATCATTCATAGGAATTCGCACAGTTCATATTTGAATGCCAATAGCTGCAATATCTTGATACATTGGTCTTAACTCCCACAGGATTGTTTTTTTAAGATCGTAAATACTTTCGTTCTTATTTATGACAGTCTTGAAAAGACTACCAATACCTAGGTCCTTAACAATACCGTTGAGAGATCCAAAACTTATAATTCATTGTATTCAAAAAAAATTTAGAAAGCGTGAATGTAAATTGAAGATCAGATGGATGATCATTGGTTATGACATAAATTTTGATTTTAATCATTCGGATCTTAACGTTAAACTGAAAATCATAAAAAATGATTTTAATTCATCAAATCGTCAAGCTATAATTAAAACACTAGACTCGAAATATGATTCATCAGCTCTTTACTTTGGTATTCCTATATTAAAAAATAAGTTGGATTCTTCAAATAATTCTCTTATCATTGGACATCATTTTTTTAATAACGAAAATGAAATAATTGGATCATATATATTTTCTTATTGCTTGAAAAAGAATCATTTTTTTAACTTACCTAATTTTACATTTTATACATTTATTATCTCAAACTATCCTAATTCTGATAATTATGGAATCTCACCCTTCCAACATATTAGTATAATAAGTAAACTGCTAAATTTTATTAAGTTTAATTCTTTAAAGCCAACCCCAAAATTTATTAGTTTATATACTACAAAAAACAAATATGGACCAATTTTCTTAAAACAAAAAACCAGTGAAATTAAAATTAAATATATTAATGTTAATTGTGATCAAGATGATTGTATCTGTAAATGCAAGAAATTAGAAGATAACTTAAAATATGCTTTCTTAGATCCAAAAGATCCAAATTAAGGTAATTTTCATTTTATAAAATTAAAAATCGAACAAATGTATTTCTATCATTAGAAATAAAATCTTGTAATCTTATATTTTTATACTATATAGGTCGCTTATAATATTACACAATTCAAGAAAATGTGTTTATTTATGTAATTTTGAATATTATTTATTATTTATAACTAAAACTAAATATATGTATTTAAAATTTTTCGTAGCTTTAGCACAATTATAGAATTAAATTTTTCATTGTTTTTCGTGTGTATCTAATATATTACTTTAAGGTTGGGAAATTTTCAGATTAATAATGATGTATGAATGCAAATGTATCAGTCTGCTGCATAAAAAGCTTTAAAACCAGAATTTACATAAAAATACTATGCTATACTACACTCTTTAAATTTGAAGCACAACTCGTAAAAAAAATAGTACCAACTTTACAAAGATTATCAAATAGTACAAATGTTCCAATAACATTAACTTCGCTTAGTTCTTTTTTTGCCCTTCCATATTTAAAACATTTAGAGCACAACTAATTGAATATGTCATCCAATATCATGGTCGCCGGTAATTTGGATGAATTTGAGAAAATCAGAATATGTAACTTTTTTACATCAGCAAGTTTGAAAAGTGTTGATTCACACCAGTATACGCGTTGATCAACACTAGCTAGTTGTTCAACACGATTTACAATATTAATCAACACCCGTATACTAGAGTTTACCAACACATAATGTTAATATACGTGTTGTTCAACTCTAATGTATAGTTCAACACATTATGCATTGTTGTTCAACACGCTGTATATTAACACATACTATATATATATACGACTATTTTAATTAAATTAAATTATATTTATTTTTACTCACCTTAGGAATCGAACCAAACACCTCCTTATACTATTAATTATCTCACGATCTAACCACTGTATCGTACAATTAAATTAAAACTTTTTAAATAATAAACTTCTAAAATAGTAGGCGAATAGTAGGTGAGAAATAATTACATTATGAAAAAAAAATCTATTTTTAGATTTTTAATTAATATATCACATGACTATATTATCACATGACCTTACATTTAGACCAATCATGATTAAGTATTTGTTATATATATTATTGTTGTGATGTTAGAAACATAAGTATTTCGATTCATTCGGATATTTTCGAGTTACTTGCCTTCTACCGAATATTATTTTGTCAGTTTGTAAATTACATGAAGCTTAGATAGGACCAAGGAAAGTATACCAAGTTAGCTATTAATGCTTATTGAGTACAAAAAGATAAATTATCAAGATGATAAAATTAGACCATAAAAACTAGTGCCAAAACCACATTTTATTCATATATATATCGTAATAATGTACAAGCCATAAATATGAGTAACATTTTGATCATAATTTCTTAATAATTTCTTAATAAATCTTAATGCATGTTTGTGATAAATTATTTTTTTAGTTGCTCGAGAGTCGATTTTGTCTTGATAAATTGTAAATATCGACGGTAGATTATTTAACATTACAATATTTTCGATGGAACACGAATATTTTTGCAATGTTAGTTGTAGTAATTACTACTAATTAATGTAAGTTTTCTAAAAAAATTTTTGATAAATCGTATTCTAATTCGCTAAAGGCATTGTTTGAAGTAGATTTTGCGTCGAAGATAGAAAATTTCCTTCTAATTTATTTACTTTACTAGGAAAAAGGTTGATAGAATCGCTTGTTTCTTTACAATCCAAACAAATCTTTGGTATTTCGCACGTTTTTTGTTCATGATTTTTTGATGGCATTATAACGAAAGTAAAAAAAGTAGGATCAAAACTTATTATTTGTTAAATATATGGGGGTTTTATATAGTTTTATTTCATTTGTATAGTGATACAAGATTACAAGTACATCGGACACGGGAAATATTTTGACACTCTAATTCTTGATTCGCTAGTCTACTGTAAAAACAATTTCCATACGTTAATGGTATCCGTAAAAAAAAACCCGGAAGACTATTGGAACGCTAATTATCAACACGTAATTTCAATAATCAATTGTTTATGTTACACTAATAAATTATATGATAAGAACTTTATACAGAAACTTAAGATAATGTAGTCAAATTTAATTGATAGCAATAATAAGTCATGATCCAATTATGATTTATTTGTGAATCAAACTCTTTGTAATAAATTTATTTGGCATGTTTTAGTTTTATTGTGCACATTCTTAATTAGAAATATAACGGAGAAGATAAATCAATTTACTCTTATTATTATAAATAAAGTTTATGATTTGAGTGAATCGGAATACAATTTTCCTTATTATAAACAGTATAAATACTTATTATTTGAACTTTTATAGCTAATAAATATCAAAGAATGCATTTATACATACAGTATTTAATATTTAATAATTCCTTATTTATCGGAATAATCGTGTTCTCGAAATAATCGTTCATAAATGATGATTTTTTTTTTACTAAATAAGTAAATTGTTAGAAATCCAGAAATTTTCAATATCTGTAAATATAATCTTTGTTGTAAAGATTAACAGTAATTGAACGCATCTAAAATAACAAAAACACAAATGGCGGTATTAATTATGTCATTATTTTTTTCTTTGCCATACAATTCCGATATTCTCAAAGAGGAAAGCAAAAAAAAAAGCAAAAAGAAGCAAAAAAAATTTTATGCATATTGTATATTTATTTCTTTAAGATACGTAATATTTTCCTTCGTTTTATTTAATAAAAAAAATGCCATTAAAAAGTTATGAACCGAAAAACCACCCGTATCAAGTTCATAAAATGAATCTAAATGATAACCGAAAAACTAGGAGAAGGCAACCTAAATAATAAATATTGTTCCGACTGTAAAGAAACAGACGATTGCATCAAACTCTTTTCTAATAAACTAAATAAAATAGAAGAAATTGTTAACGAATTTCATAAAAAATGTCCAAAAAAAAAAATTGAAAAATGCTCTATTTTTAACGCAAAATTTACGCTAAATAACGTTCCTTGTGAATTAGAGTATGACTTATCTCAATTTACTTTAGAAAATTTACAAAGTTAGTAAGCTTTACGACTCAAAATTGCAATAATTCTTCTGATAAAAATAATTAATTTCAAAACACACACGTACATTAGGCAAATCTAGAATAATATTTATATTTAGTTTTTATCCCCGTCAAATAATACGCTTTCAAATATAATTATGATTATTCAACTTCGTTTTAATTGATTTAATTATCGACAATCAAACGCAAACAAATTTTTTTTTTCTCAAACCACAAAACAAATTATAATTCTTAAGGATTTTACTGTAAGATCTTATGTATTGTATATAATAACACTAGGTCGAATTTTAATTTCCGATTATAATAAATAATCTTGGAGAATGCTATCAATATGTAATAGGAAAATAAGGGGAGGACTCTTATTATTAACAGATGATCGTCATCTTTTTGATAAGTGGCTTTTTGTGTAACTTTTGCGATTAACATAAGTGGCTGCCAATTTAATCCGAATTGGTTAATCCCGTACATCATGAGATAAGATAGACTTTTATTGTTTTCCAAAAAAAAAAAAGAAAAAAAATTTGTAATTTGCATAAAAACTATATGGTCGGTCTTAAGTAAAATAGTATTTTACTTGGTTTATTTTATTTTTTATATCGCCCCATCATGGTTCAACTTCATAACTCTCTATTTATTTTTTAGATAAAATAACAAGATAATCTCTTTTTTAAAAATGAAATTACGTTGCAATTACTCAAGTTGAAACCAAGTAGGTTCATTTAGTTATCAATAAGTTATAACTGCGTTAAGTAATTTTTCAATAAACGTTTTTACTTTTTCAACAGTAAAAATTTCATAACTTTACGTTAGTGATTTTAAGATTAATTTGTAATAAGGTTCTCTACATTTTACGTTATACTCCAAGATAAATGGTAATATTTCAATGGAGCGTGACTATGCGATTATATATTTAATAAAACATGCATCACTGGCTAGTAATGACCCTAATTTTTTTACGGACGTTAAAAAATTCCTTTATATTATTATAGAATACCTTTCTCATGAATGTAAATTTATTTATGTTGCTTAAATTATTAATTAGAAATGTTCTTGAGTTATGAATAACAGTTCATCGGATTCAGTTATTTAAAAAAAAATCGGGCCGCGATCTATAGTTTATCCTTGAATGAATACATATAAATATATACACATATGCATTTGTTGCTTTTATAATAAATTATCGTGAATTGTTCTTTACAATTAATCACGTGCGAAAAAATTTATTTTATTGCGCAAAGAAATAATGATGCTATGATATAATTTGACAACCGAAATCGATAAATTGTATAAGATCAATTTATAATACGCTACGGACAGATTGATGAGTAATGTTTTCTTGAACTCACCAATGATAAATTATCGAAGGTTTTTACTCTCATAATGCTTAATTTTGGCCCGGATCCTTTAAAAAATTAAAGAAAATTTGTTGCTATCGGGGAAAACTATTCAAAAATGTGATGTACTACTAAGTATGTTTGTTGTCATTTGATTTTAGCGAAATAAAATTTATCGGTATCACACGAATTGTAAAATGTTCGTATTAGGTTCTTTTTCTAATTATAATTTAAGATTATTACTTTTCTATTCATTTTATGTCTAATTCAAAATTTTGTTAATCAAAAATGTACATGACTGGAGTTACACAGTCTGATGAAGTCAAATAAAATTAGTTACACAAGTTACACACTCATTTATAGAAAAACAGCGTGTTTCACAGTGTTAAATTGATTGGCTAATTTTGCCATGAGTTCACAAGCAGGGATTTATCTATTCCGGATTATACTTTCCGAATCTAGAATATGACTAGATCCTCCTGATCCGTTAATAGAATATTGAATCTAATAAAAAATAAATAAAATTACAATCAAAAATAATTTATACTAAATTCTTACTAATTAATAAAAATATTTACATCACTGAAACAAGCCGACCAGCCAGAAATATTAAAAATAGTAGCCACTCCATCAGGTGAAGTTTTTGGGTACTCAATAGGAAAGGATGAATAAATGATTCTGGAACTGAGAGATATTTTGTAAAAAAGACTACTGGTTCTTCCTCTTCATTTAGTTTTCAAAATATTAGATTTTAAAAGCTATTCTTTAATAATAAAAGGATATTAAGGAACTCGTCATCCAATATAGTTTCTTCATCAGATATAGCTTCAATATCTGAGATATCTGAAAGAATAATTGAATTCATTTTAGATATTATAATTAATATAAGGACGTGACAGTAGGTTTACTCACAACTGATTTGAGACAAAAAAATGGACTAAACAAAAAAGTTACTGGGCTAATAAAATTTAGTATTACAAAAATTTTCATTCACGTAAAAGCCAAATCAAATTATTTAAAGCTGAAATTTCTTTCAAATAAAAAAGAGTAGATATACAATATATTTAATTATAATTTTATATTTAATATTATACAAGCCATTAAAATTACAGTTTTCAAGCGGTATTTTGACGTTACTAAAAAATTTATAAATTGAATAAATTAAAGTAGCAAAAAGGAAAAAAATTTAAATGGAACCTTTATATTTATATAGATTATATAGAAAAGATGTTATGTATAGACACCTATGTATGTAGTGTATAGTGATGTGCACTATACGTTGATTTTGTGATTGTATGACATGACAAACATATTTTTTGTACGTATGTACACTAACCATACGTAATTGTTATATGTATATATAAATGTATCCAGTGCGCAGCATATGTGAACCGGCAAATTTTGCAAACAGGGCCGCATTACGGCATTATGCACTAACACGTGAAAACAAAGTGACGAATAAAGGCGTGACGAATAAGTTTTACTCACTCGAAAAAAACTGTCCCTCAGATAATTATAAACAGTGAAACAAGGCTCGGGCGTGACGATGTGATGAATTAAAAATAGATCACGTGACTGTGCAAAAATTGCCAGTGCGGCTGGGCTAGTACTAGTGTAAACAGGACTTCCCTAGCGCAGGGTTGGGAATTGTACTAGTACAGTACTAGTACAGTATAGTACAGTACTAGTACAGTATAGTACAGTACTAAGTACTGTACTGCTAGTACAGGTGTACTACCACAACTCTGCCCTAGCGTAACCTGAAAAAAATGTCACGAAATGGCCGGCATTACGCAACTTGACTAAAATTAAGTGTGGCGCACATGTGACGAATAATGTGTGATGAATAAGTTTTTACCTACTCGAAAAAAACTAAGTCCCTCAGATACTTATAGAAAATGGAAGCGCAGTGGGATGTGACAGTTGGAGCATCCTTATCCTGGGCCACGGTCCAGATGCTTATCCTAGACCAGCAAATCTAATTGGATGAGATTGTTTTGTGTAACATTTGTCTTTAAAAAAAAACACAATTCGCATTTTTTAAAAAAAAAGTTACGAAATGCCTTTTTTTAAAAGCATTTAATACTACCGTTTTAAAGTAATATGTCATTTAAATTTTGTATTTTGGTATGAATTTTATTAAACTTTATTAATACTAAATAAGTAAAATTGCATATATAACTTTATAAAAAAGGTCTTTACATTATTTTTTACTGTAATATTATTATTAAAATTATTTTAACGTTAATATCAAAACAAAAGTACAAACTAATATTATATTAGCTTTATAAGTAATGTTATAAATGTGTAATTTACAACCTTTTTTGAACAACTTCGCTTAACCCCAAAGCTTTTTTTTTTAAAAAAAACAACTTGATTTCCAGAATAATATCAATATACTGTATCATAAAACTCTTCAAAAAGAAAATAAAAAACATTTAGTATTATCATAAAACTACAATAAATACAATTAAAATTAAATATACAAACTGAAATGAAATATGAAATACTAAGTACTAACATACCACAAAAAAGAATAGAGAAAGATTGAAAGATAGGAAGAGTGAAAGATAAAATAAATTATGCCGGAGTTATGTAATAAAAAGTGCTGATTAGCCAATCAAAAGTTGATTAGTCCAAAATAAGCATCTGGACCGGCGGATCAGATTAATAATGGTGACGGTTGTGACAAAAAATGTCACGTGATTTTTCGTGACATTTTTTTCAGGTTACGCTGGGAAAGTCGTGTAGACAGGACTTTCCCAGCGTAACCTGAAAAAAATGTCACGAAAAATCACGTGACTTTTTTTGTCACAACCGTTACACTCCACTGCGGGAAAATCTTACCACACCACCCTCGGTTATACAGTGACATTTAGCGTCACATTGTCACGTGATATCCGCGTTCGCATTTTTTATATTTATCTGAGAGACAGTTTTTTTTACTAGCCTGATCCTTATTTGTCACAACCTCGGAAATCACACCCCAACAAATATTTTGTGTAACCGAGGGTGGTGTGGTAAGACTACCCCCCACTGCGTTTCCATTTTCTATAAGTATCTGAGGGACTTAGTTTTTTTCGAGTAGGTAAAAACTTATTCGTCACACATTATTCGTCACAAGTGCGCCACACTTAATTTCAGTCAAGTTGCGTAATGCTGGCCATTTCGTGACATTTTTTTCAGGTTACGCTAGGGAAGTCTGTAGACAGTTACTGCGGCTGCGCCTTATCATTTGTATTTACGTGCGTTTGGTCTCTTATTTCATTCATACGTACGTACGTTTTGATTTAATATTTATTATTATTTATTTGCCATGTATGTATGTACAGTACACTCAGTGCAACCATACGTACATAGCGAAATTTCACCATACACTACACACAAGGGTCTCTATACACTACATGTTTCCTAATTGCCCATTTATATAGAAAATAAATTGTTCTTGCCTACACCAAAACAGATAATTATTACTTTGATAAAGTTTTAACAAATTTAGTTAAATTACAAACATAACAGTTTCACAACCATTTTATTATTGATTCACGTAAAAAAATAAAAATTTAAATTAATTTTATTTTAAATAAAACTTTGATTTCTCTGAGTATATTGACTATAGGAATGTTGAAAGTATTGAAAAATCTTTATCTGGGTCGTCAAAGCTTGCATCTTGGAATCAACAACTAGTAGTCGGCAGCAGCAAACAAAAAAAAAATTTAAAATTATCTTCTAAGTCCGAGAAGAACTTTGTATATACTAAACTAATAAATTTTCATTTCTTAAATTTAGAAAAAATAAATTTATATTTTTTTAACAGAATTTCTATATTTTTATTTTATTTTTACTTTTAACGCTATTTATAAATATTTCTTGTAATTAAGTATTTATATATTTTGGAACGTTAATTACAGTATATCATGTGATAGTACGCGTTGTTAAAATATAAAGTTTTTTACTTCAAATCGCCGGAGGTCATCACCGCATTAATAAATACGTTTTAACCTGTTTGATAAAACGAAAAATATATTACACGAAATATGTAATCATTGATATTCTGTGATTATTTTAAAACAATTTTTTTTGTTTTATATCTTATATATTCAAATTATTCATCATCATAACGCAATGGGCCATCTTTACATATTGCTGAATAAATTGTAGCAAAGTCATTTTTGCATATTTCTTTAATATCACTAAATTGATTACGTTGCACTTATTCAAATATCTTATTTTTTAATTGTATTCTTTAATGAAATTATCAATTAATTTATTGTTGCTTGTCCAATTTGCGAAATTTCTTCTAAATAATCCATTAGACATGATTCACACCACTTATGTCCAACATCTACATATTTTTTACCACATTCTTCACAATTTCCATCTTGAAGAACTATAGTGTATTCATTTTTGTTTGGATTATAAGATATCCCATGCATTTTAATATTATTACTATATTTATTTATATATACATCATCATCGTCATCGTCATCATCATCATCATTAACTTATCAAAGGTGAAAATATTAATTTTGTGATTTCCATCTATTATCTTAATTTTGTTATATAAATATAAAAAAACTCGTATCTCGATATTAGCCATATAATATTTTTGAATTTTCTATAATGAACAGTCATGCGACTATATACTAATCCAGGCCAAATTTATAGTACCAGAAATAATTTATTATGAATTTATAGATAATTTCTTATTATGTATAATATTTTAAACATTTTAAAGCAACTTTTTCATTATGATTTCTTGTTAATTCTTTTTTATCAAAATAATCACAATATAATGGGCCATCCTGAATATATTTTAGTAACACCATCATTCCCTAATTCTTTAATATTAGTGAATTGATTATATGGTATCCATTCGCATATGTCATTAGACGACTTAAAATTTGATTGTATTTCTTGAATTAAATTATCTATCTTTTCATTTCCACTAATCCAACTAGTAAAATTTCTTTTATAATCATTTATTCGACATAAGTTACACCATTTCATCCAATTTTTATAATTTTTACCACATTTTTCACAATACACATCTTGAAGAACTATAATATAATTTTGGTATCAGGATTTTGAGATATTCCATATATTGTATGTATATACCTTTCAGTTAAATATGCTTTGACCTATTAAAAAAGAAAAAATTATTATTGTATCGAAAAAATTTTTAATTTAATTAAGATTTTTACCTCATTCAAAAAATTCATTCATATGATCTTGTGAGTTGTATAGATATTTTAAAATAACTTTTCATTTGGTGTCTTTTTATATTCATTATGCAATGGACCATCTTTCCATACTGCTGAATATATTTTAGCAGAATCATCGCCTAATTCTTTAATATCATTAATCTGGTTATATGGTATCTATTCAAATATTATATTTTTCAATATTATCTTTTGGTCCATTAATTTTTAATTGAATTTCTTGAATGAAATCATCTTATTACTACTGGTTCAGTTTGTAAAAAATGTGATTTACACCATTTATGTTATGTAACTGTGTACTGTTTACAACATTTTTCGCAATATCCAGCTTGAGATATTCCATTATTACTGGTAAAATGGGTTGTCAAATAATTAATAATACATGTACACCATTAACACTTGCACGCAATGCAATTAAATATTGATTTTTGCAATTTTTACATTGCCAATACATGTTATCTGATATAATATTTTTATTGTTCTTACAGGTGTAAATTTGATAGTAATTCTTCTACTGAATTTTGGGCATATAATTATTGACATACTGAGGATAAAAAAACTTTCCTTTTTTGGGGGTCGGAAAAATTATCCATTCAACCGGTAATATAGTAAATATACAGGTTTTTAGCTTGGAGACCAAAAAGCCTGTGCAATATGTTTAACTTTAATTGTAGTATATCTAATTTAAGTAACCATTGTCACATGGTACATTCATCTTTAATATGTCGTATGTCCGCCTGACCAATTTTTCTGATCAATTCAAGTTTGTTTATCAATTTTCGTAAACTTAATATAAAAAATAATTATTGTCAAATATTTAATATTATTATTCCTGTATAACTTTTTTTAACAACTTGCAATTTACTATTGATGTGTTGCTTGTGGTCCAATGTAAATCAATACTATTAGAAGTCTAAGTCATTAAAATTAATTATTCCTTATCAATACATTACTCCACTTTTTTATCAACTCTTTTGCATTAAACCTGATTTTTTAGGGTCTATATTGACCTGTAAGAATTGTTATTGTATTTAGTATTTGATCTGTTATATATAATTAATTTTCATCCCTTTTAAATCATTTTTTGGAGTCAGTGTTTTTGTAATTTATATGGTGATATGAGGTCCCGAGTAATAGAACTCGGGTCCTGTATAATGGCCTTAATAGGTAAAGATTATCCAATTAAGTCGGACAATGAAGCCTTTTTTTGTCTTAAGATTTCCACATGGCTAAGTAATTTCTGTAGATCAGCAAGTATATTTTTCCTCCGCAAAAAATTTTTTTTTTTCTAAATAAAAAAAAAATGAATTATTCAAATGCCCTCCGAAATTTTTCAAAGATAGCCTGCCCATTTATTAACAATAAATTCATAGTTCCATCTTCCTCTCATATTAGTAAAACCCTAATTAATCCGGCCACAGAAGAATCACTTATTCAGGTTGTAGAAGGAATATCAAGTGATGTTGATTTAGCTGTTAAAGCTGCAACAGATGCTTTACATTCAACATCATGGATATCATTAAGTGGAGCTGATAGAAGAAATATTTTACTAAAAATAGCTGATGGTATCGATAAAAATTCAGAAGAATTGGCTTTAATTGAATCTTTGAACGTTGGAAAACCTTTAAAAGATGCTAAACTTGAAGTCTCCGAATCTGCAGAATGTTTTAGGTATCAACCATTAAAAGATCGTTATTATCAAATTTAAAATTTTGTTAAAAAAATATTTTTTTATATATTATAACATTCTAATTAATAATTTCATAAATTTTCAATAGATTTTTTGCAGGTTATGCGGATAAATTAGCTGGTCACACCCTTTGTGTAGATAATAAATATAGATTATATACCATTAGAGAACCTGTTGGAGTATGTGGATTGATAACAAGTTTTAATTATCCTTTATTATTAGCATCATGGAAATTAGCACCAAGTTTAGCTTGTGGGAATGCAATTATACTTAAACCAGCACCACAAACTCCATTAACTACTTTAATGTTAGCAAACATAATTTCTGCTGAAACAACATTACCACCAGGTATAATTAATGTAATACCAGGAGATGAAGTAGTTGGAAAGAGTATCACTAATCATGAAGGAATAGATAAATGTAGTTTTACAGGATCAGAACAAGTTGGAAGAAAAGTCCTTTCCGCTTCTTCATCAAGTAACTTGAAAAAAGTTACGCTTGAATTAGGAGGTAAAAATCCAATGATTGTTTTTTCTGATGCTAATGTAGATAAAGCTGTTGAAGATGTTTATTGGGCTACTTTTTTAAATTCTGGACAAAATTGTAGTGCTGGTTCAAGATTATTTTTGGAAAAAGATATTCATGATGAATTCATAGATAAATTACGTAAAAGAATTGAAAAGACTAAAATGGGTAATCCATTAGATGAAACCGTTGATCTTGGTCCTTTAATTGATCGCACACAATTTCAAAATATACAAAAAGTTATTAATGATAAAATTATTGGAGGTAAATTATTAATTGGCGGGAAAAGATTTGGTGATATTGGATTTTTCATTGAACCTACTGTATTTTATAATCTTGATGATTCTGAATATCTTTCTCAAGAAGAAATATTTGGTCCTGTATTAAGTATATTAAAACCTTTTAATACGATTGAGGAAGTTATTAAAAGAGCAAATAATACCAAATTTGGTCTAGCCGCTGGTATTTGGACATGTAATTATTTAAAAGCTGAAAAGGTTGTAAAGGAAATTAAAGTTGGTACCACTTGGGTAAATTGCTATAATTTAGCTCCTCCTTGCTTACCTTTTGGTGGTAATAAATTAAGTGGTTTTGGCAAAGAATTAGGAGAAGAATCCATTAATGAATTTAGCTTCATAAAATCTGTCACTTTTTCTTTATAATATATTTATATTATTGAATAAAATATATGAAATATGATTTTTTTGTGATCTACTGTATATTACGAACTATTTATCATTTGTGTAAATTACTAAAGATTCATGATGGACGATAAGGATCAAATTGACCCTAATTTTGGTAAGGATATCAGTTGGTCCCTACTGTCACACCCAAACATAGGAGCCAGGATTATAAACTAACTTTTCTTTACCGCAAACCTGTGTAATCAAAACTATACTAAGCAGAAAGTGCATAATAAATAGATAATGGTCTATTACTATCTTTCTTTGATTACAAGCAAATCTCTTGTAAAATGTTTGATTTAGCTAAATATTCTCTGATAAAATTGGTTTCACTTGACATTTTTGTATAAAATTATTAATATTGTTATTTCAGTTGAAAATCAGTTTTTATAATTTTTTTGAACACAATACTCCATAATTAAACATTCAATTTGATAATTTCATAAATTCTTTTTGTTTCTTTATTATTAAGATTTAAAGTAGTTATAATTTTTTATTTAAGTTGGTTTATTATTCTGATTTTTCATCTTTTGTAAAAAATTTATCAGCAAGTATAGTTTGTTGTCTAAACTCATGTCACTTTTAATTATTTTGAATATTAAATCTAATTGCAGCAATAATTTATTCTTCTTGAATGTTCGCCCATAATAAAATTTCTAAGGTTTCATTCAATTAACATTAATTAATGAATTTAAATAATGAAAATATAATTGAAAAAGAAATTCGAACACAATGTATAAAACGAATATAAGATGAAATTCTAATAAACGATAATTAGCGATATCCTATTAATCAATATATTGATTGTTTCATGTTTTCTTCACGATTCATCTTATTTTTAACTTGTAAACTTGATAACTTCCTATAATATGATAAATTTATTAGGAATTTCAATTCAAATAATTTGATATTACAAATTTATGTATTTATGTTAATAAATATAAGTAAAATAAATTCAATATATTCAAATATACAAATTTAAGTTTACCACTAAAATATATTAGCTGTAGCCTGTTATGTTGCAACAAGATTAATTTATACCAATACACTGCTCTATAAACTTATACTTATAGGTTTTTTCCTTTTTCTGTTACAGGCTCATCTTTCTTTTAAATATTTTATATATAATTAAAAATTTATATTAGAGGATGGAGATAACAAAGAAATTACAATAAAAAAATGAAAAATAAAAATTAGTAGCTAAAAAGTTTTTTTTATTAGCATTATTCAACGTATTAATAAAAAATAACCACTAATTAAAAAGATTTATTTTTTGATTCGAATCAAAAAAATGATTAAAAAATTTAGCAAAAATAAATAATACATAAAGAAGTTTCAGAAAAAGTAAATAATATAAGTAACAATATTAAAATTATTTTTTTATATTTTATTCTATTTAAATAAAAAATTATTTATTTTATATTTTATTCTATTTAAATAAAAAATTATTTATATTATATTTTAATTTATACTAATAAAATCACACAAAATATATTAGTTATTAGGCGACACAAAGTGGTAAAAATGGTTTTCATAGTCCGGCCGGGTCAGTTTAGTTAAGTCTTAAAAAAAAAATTTTTTATATTATTACTATGCCGGGTGAGAATTTTTTAAAAATTGAAAAAAAATTTCGCATATAAAATTTTTGAAAAAAAAAAATTAAAAGCCAGGTTGCCGGGTTATTGATGAAATTTTTATATTATGAAAACCATAAAATCAAGTTTGTATGGCTTAATGTAAAATTATTTTTAAAATTCCTTAATTAATCAATTATGGTTAATAAGAATTTAAATTGAAGAGCTAATGCTTTAATAGATTACAACATTCATTATAATATGGCCAAATAAAGAACATAAATTTCTAAAGCAAATAATTATTGATAATGAATCTTTGAAACTGCAGAATAAAACAGAAGTGATTGAAAGAATATTAAACGTTACAGCTTAACATTTGTTAAAATATTCATTATTTTTATATTTTATATAATTAGTTACTAATAACAACAATCTTAATATTACTAATAATGAAATCATATTACAGATAATGACTTACATTGAATTTCTATGTCATACTTGTATTCAAGGCTATGAACAATGTCTAAGTAGACATGAAGTATGTCATTTGTCATTTACTAAGTAAAGTTTGAAATTATAGCAGACTAAAATTAGTAAATAGCTAATGCAAACCAAAATTATTAGATATTCGGCCAGCATTAAAATCACATGACTCAAATGATAATTGTATTTGCATGATATGTAACATGTCATTATTACCAATTATTTTATTTATGCAATTTTCTTTCGCATAATAATGATTGGAATTTTAATAAATGTTCAATAAAAATGTTATTAATATTACTGCAAAATTTCATATACGAAATTACACACATTTTACACATTTTACATATACTAATGATAATATTAATTAAAATTTATTATCAATATTTATTTATATAATTATAATGAGTCACTGCAAAAATTTTTTATTCTATCCTTTGGTCAGATTGACAAATTTTTTATGCAATGATAGTTGGACTGACAAACACCAAGTCATTTATTAAAATTACACATGCTAAATTTTTTTTTACACTGGATATGTCATTTCAAGTCATATTACATATAAGTATCTTTTTGTATTTAAGATCCCTGTATGTTAGGATATTTTTTGTTCATCTTTTTTTTTTTTTTTGTTTATTAAAAAAATTTTTCTAAATTCAACAAAGTATTTAATAAAATAATTATGAGTACAAGTGAACAATATCCTGGATATAAGAGTAAGTAAAATTTTCCTCAGTTAAAGTATATTCTAATTCTACTAACTTTCCTTTTACTTCTAGCTATTACATCTTACTTGAAGGAACGAGAAAATTGCCAAGAAAATTGGTCATATCATGGGTTTTTGCTCTTTCACCATGATGATATTATTGCTTCATCATCTTCAAACAAATGGAAGAAACTTAACAATTTTTGGATGAACAGCTTTTTAAAGGAAGCAAGAAAACTAATCATTAATCAAGAAATTTACAATGCTATAGAAGAAAAGGTGCGTTTTTTATTTAGCAAAAAGAGGGCAAATCCTTAGTCTAATGCATCCTGACTTAGAAGCTGAGTTAACACACTTGGTAACCAATCCAAGTTCTTAATTTGGGTACTCAAACTTTGTAAAAAGAGAGAGTAACTTCTTATCTAATGCATCCTGACTTTGGATCTGGATTAAAACACTTGGTACCCAATCCAAGTTCTTAATTCAGGTGTCTGAAATTTGTATTGGTAAAAGTCTGCTTGTTCTGGAGGAGGAACAGGCTATGTACCTTCTTTTATCATAAATAAAAGTTAATACGCACAGCTAATAATCTTTCTTATAACAGGTAAATAAAGAACAAACACGTTATGCAAAAGAATTAGAAATTTACTGGAAGGAGGTGATTACAGAACTAAATAAGGTTAGTCAGTATAATATAATAAATTATAAAACTTGTTTGGCGATTATATAATTTGTTAACAAATTTTATTATAGAAGGATTCTGTAAAGCGAAAATTTGAAGAGGAAAAGGAAAATCTCAGCCCACAATCAAAAAAGAGTCGATCTACTATTACTCTCTTTTGCATGGTTCAGGGAAATGTTAATAATGCCTTTTCTATCAATATTAATAAGAATAAAACCATTAGTGAGCTTAAGAGTTTGATTCAAAAAGAAAAATATAATGATTTTGCTGGTATTGATCCTGATCAACTTAAACTCTGGCAGGTTGAAATTCCTGATGAACACTATGATGAGTTAGTTAATCTTCAATTATATAAAAATAAAGAACTTCTTGCAACAAAAAAAATAAGCAAGTATTTTATTAAAGACCCTGTTGATGAACATATTCATATTATTGTATCTTTACCAGAAACTACTAAAACTAGGCAAGAGTTAGAGTTGACAGAATTGGAGTTGATAAATAAAGTAGCAGAATTGCAGAAATTATTACTTAAGAAGTCTATATATGGTATGTTAGTTATATTAAAGAAAGTTTGTAATCAAACACTGATTTATATATAATTTATGATTGTAGAATTCAATATCATAGTTAATCCAAAACGTACAAAGGCATCCAAGTGGATTGCAAATATAGAACAAGTAACTCTTAAAGACCTTAAAGAATTTATATTTGCTTTATATCAATCTCCTGAACTTCAGAAAGATGTTGCAACACTTGCCTTTTCATGCAATGATGAAAAATATTCTCCTAAAAGTGACTTAGAGTTTCAAAATATGCTTCAATTATTTGTATCAAAAAACAGCCTCAAATTCACTGTATTTATAGAAACATCAATATCCTTTTCCTCTTGGACTTTTCCAAGAGTATGTTGGCTATATAAGCTTAGTGAAGATAGTGATCCATCATTATCAGTGTTTTCTCTTTTTAATTGTGGATTCATAGATTTGAATGATGAAAAGTCACAAGTGATAATTAAACATCTTATGACTGATTTAAATTTTCGTTTCAAAGCTATTCCTATAGGAAATGAAGCATCAAAAAGTCAGTATGTTTGTTCATATCTTGTAGCTATTGCAAATCTTTTTGAGGATAAATTTAAGATTTGTCCAGAAAAAAATGTCTCAGGTTTAAATGGTCATGGACCTGTAGACTTTGCTTTAATTCAAGTTCAGACTTCTAGAATAATTGGTATTACTGAAGTTAAAGATAAAGATTTTCAACAAGGTGTTGCTCAGAATGCAGTTCAATGTGAATCAGCTTTATCAAGTAGTAAGAAAAAGGTTTTTGGTATTATAACTGATTCTGAAAAATGGTTTTTTTTGGAGTGTTCACTAGATAATGAAAGAAAACCCAAGTTTAAACTATCAAAACCAGTGGTCATTATATATGGAGATGAAGATATGGAAAATCGGGTTAAAAAAGTTCTTGGTCATATTGCATGGTTGTTAGAGGAGGCTCAAAAATTGAATGAACTAGAAGATAAGAACTAATATCCATATTAGAAGTGTATACATCAAAATTTAGTTTCATAATATTGTTAATTTATTTTTGTGTAAATTATTTATAAATTATGTACTGTATGTATGTTTTTTTTTACCAGATAATTAATATACATCATATATCACATAAAATTATTCATTTATAAAGATATAATCATCAATCAAAATTAATAATTTGTTAGTTTGTCCCATAATTTGAATAAAATCTTCACTAATATTTCTTATAAATTTTTAGTGCAAGTGTAAGTTTTTTAAAAAATTTTATTCTAATTCGCTAAAGGTATTTTTTAAAGTAAATTTTGCGTTGAAGATAGAAAATTGATTATTCTTATTCTTTTTTATGGGATTTTTATAAAATTATAATTTAATTCCTTCTAATTTATTTACTTTGCTAGAAAAAAGTTAGATAGCATCACGTTTTTTGATCATGATTTTTTGATGACATTATAACGAAAGTAAAAAAAAGTAGGATCAAAACTTATTATCTGTTAAATATATGGGTTGCTATAAAAATAGGGTTTTATTTCATTTGCACAGTGATACAAGTACATCAGACTCAGACGTTTTATATCTCCAGTATTTAACTATCTAAATCAGTAATACCTATAAATTCTACCTGATATCGATAGATCGGATCTATCATTATTTAAGCTAAAACTTATTCCATTAACGTGACGAGTTGTACGGTTATATAGTATTAATATCATTTTATAAAGAAATACGTATTCATTTATTTAAAAATTTGTACGATCAAAATTTAAATCTATACTGTATATACCTGTTCAATGGATATTAAATAATGCACGAAATATTCAAAGAAGAATAAGTTTGTGTTTTACGGAAAATTGGTTTTTTTAGGTGAAACTTTAGCCCTTAATTATATAAAAAAAAAAATTAATAGATAAACAACAACAACAAAAAATAATCCCGTGTTAAAAACAATTCCGATTATTTCGATTATTTTTGTATACCGAGTTTTTGGGTTGTACAATAAAATTAAGGAGCAGTGGAGTATTTATCCTACTATCAAAACGCGTCATTATTCTTTACGCGAGTAATAAAGAATGGAAGAAACTTCAGTGAGATCCCAAAATTACTTGCCAAGCACTTTCTATGGTTGCATAGCAATATAGATAATATGCGAATGTATCAATAAACCAATAAATTAGAAAAAACACCTGAAAAAACTTTTTTTTTCTGAAGATTTGATTCAAAAAAGACATGTGAATCACAACAACTTTGTTTAAAGACTAAAGACGAAATTTATGGTTATAATTCAAACTTTAGTCAAAATTTTCATTGTTACTTTGTGTAAAATGTAATAGTGCATATGATAGACAAAGCAAACTAATAAAGAGTGCAGAATCTACTCTATCTATTGAAGAATTTAAATTTAAACTAATTGTAAAAAAAAAAGAATGGTAGTTTACTTCCAGCTAAATGGGTTACAATTCAAGAGAAAGAATTTGAAGATTTTTTATCATCATTGGAGGTTTCAGCATGTAGGAGATAACTCAATTGAAGGTCCAGGAACTCATTTGGAAGATGATGGCGATTTTAAAGAATTTATAAATATATTTATAATCACAAAAAATCTATGTCTGTTTATATTACAATGAAAGAAATCACGTTAAAAAAAAAGAAGAAAAGATAGTGATCAAAAGACAAAAGGTAATAATAGATTTAGCTAATTATTGATTTCGCTATAATACATTTTACTTACTAATAAATTTTTTATTTTATTTATTATAGACATCAGATTCCGAATCTGTTGATGCTGAAATTATTGATTTCAAAAAAGTAAAAACTAAAACACCAAAGACTTTAGATCCTGATGATTCTCATAACCTGTTCCTTTTAAAAATAATTTTTTTTAAAAAAAAATAAATAAATATATTTATTAACAAAAATAAAATGATTTTAAAAAATTAATTTTTATTAGTATATTTGCGTATCTATTTTCAGGAGTGTTTAGACGAGTAAACGAGCGAGACCATTAAGTCTTTCGAAACTTTTCTCATATTAGTCATATAGGGTAGGGTCAATTCTGGAACAAATAAAAAAGCTCAAATTATTACAGAATTACGTGAAAAATATCATTGTTTCTTATATCAATTTCCTTGTATTATAAAAGATGGAATGCATAAAAAACTAACGTGCGCGCATTTAGAGCTTTGGTCAACAGAAATAGTAAGTATTTATTGCAAATTTTTTTTTTATTTCAAAACGCGTGACTTTTATTAAATTAATTAATATCTATACATAATTACACTAGATTAAAGGTTTTACTACCATAGACAAACCTCCGACTTATCAAATATTTGTGTTTGATAAAAAAAAAGCATTCCTTCTCAGCATATTCAAGTCAATCCAAGCGGATCACAAGTTATTTATCCATCACCTTATCATTCAAATCACGTATATCAATATTATGCTCCAAATATGTATCAAAATTATTACTCCGACTTTAGTTGCAACCAATACTAATGTTAACGTAAATAATACTCACATAAATGTAAAAGAAAATATTTCTATTCAAGATTTTTTTGAAAATTTAGATAAAAAATTCGGTGATAAAGTATTTTCAGTATATTTGAAAAATTTTTCAGATCAGCGTATTGAAGTTCAGAATATTCCTGAATTAGGAGATGAGGAGTTTCTAGTTTAGGCATTACAAAAATTGGACATAAAAAACTCTTTTTTTGTAATATTTTCGATTTTTGATAATATTTTGTTAGAACAATAAAATTGAACAAAGCGTCTGTAATTTTATAATCATTTTTTATAATAAACTTTATTTATTATAAATCTTACATATAAGTAGAATTAGAAAAAAATCCTTTTGCATCGTCTGAAATAATTTGAGCACATGCTAACATCAAAGCATGAATAGGATCAGTAAAATTTTCCATTAATTAACGATTTCTTTTTATCCACATTTTAAACCGGAAAAAGATCTTTCGATCGGATTTAAACTTGGAGAATAAGGTGGTAAGAATTCAATTTTTACACCTAATTCTTGAACAATATCAATAAAATCATTGTTATGGTTAATTCTTGCGTTATCCATCATAAGAACACTATTTGAACCTGGAAATGGATGCATTTGAGGAATCTAATAAAGTTTATTAGAAAGAATTTACATTTAAAAACATTTTTTAAGGAAAATTACCGGTCATACCACTTTAGATAAATTTTTCTTTATTACAAGAATCCTCTATAATGTCCACAGCAATATATCCATCAAATGGTAACGTGGTAATATTGTGTACCTTTTTCCATGTAAAAAGATAGTATTTTGTTGGATTCTACATCCTATACTTGAATATCCGTATACTCTATTTAAAGCTCTCTTGTCTTTAGCAGATTCATCCACAAATATTAACTGTTCTATACTGTGATCCTATTGTAGGAATAAAAGCACTACGTAATAATTCATCTCTTTCTCTTGCTACCTTTGTTAATTAATAAAAATCAAATAAATTTTAATTTACCAAATAAAATATAACACATAAAATAAAGAGTAAAGATTTCAACCTTTTTACGAGTAATGCCACAGAATTTTAAATAACGGCTTAATGTAGAAGTAGAAATGGTTTTATTTATTCTATTCTGTATTTTACATATAAGTTCATTAAGATAAAAATCCGGTTTTTCCTAATTTCTTTTATAACCTAGTGAAATAAACTAAATTATTGAATATATGTGTAAAAATAAAATAAAAAGTTATATTCAAATAAATTACTTCCAATTCACTACAATTTAAAATTTGTCAATGTCTTCATAACCATACTTTTACTAATAAATAATGAAGAAGTTATTTGTTCGGGAGACTTTCCAATATGATTCAAATATATAATATGTCATAATAGGTCGTCACTTATTATTTTATTGGTATTTTTTTTATGAAGCTATATTGCTATTGGCACGCGTTTAGCTTACGTATATAAATTATGTCAGCTGATAAACCTAAAAATTCGGTAATTATTTTTGTTGATTACAGATTTCTGCAATCCGCAATAATAACGGATAATACTTATAGTTTTGAAAATATTATCTAATTAATCAATTAATAAAAGTAAATAGAACGAAGAAGTTGTTAATAATTACTATAAAAAATCTTCCGAAAAAAAGACCGATAAATTTTCCGTATTCAATGCAAAATTTATATTGAATAACATTCCTTGTAAATTAGAATATGATTTATCAAATTACACGTTAGAAAATTTACAAAAGTTAGCAAGTTTTATAACTTAGAATTGCAATAATAATATTATTGCTAAAGGTAATATCAAATTCTTCCGAAAAAAAAAAGATAGTTAAAACTTTCGATTAAAAATGTATTAAATATTTGATAATTGAATATTATCATTATTTCTTTATTTCATTGATTTAAAATACAAAACATATTGTTAGATAAGAAAACTAATATTATAAATGTAATACTACGTAGGCCGGATTCCTATCGAAAATACTATAATATTTAATAACAAAATGTTTAGTAATATGGTAGGACCCCGAACAATACTGATATAGGTAAGGTCCAGGAAAAAAAATTTACTATTAGCTGTACGCAGCACTTTTGACTATGATCAGTACGCATTTATAGCTCCTAACCCCTGAAATTTTTACAAAATACGCATTCTAATCCTCTAACTTCAAGTCAGTTTTTAAAATTTTAATTGGCTCTTTTATTAGCTTTATCAGTATATTTCATTAAGATTTTTCAATCATCTTTTCAATAATTCCTTCTCTTCCGAAATAATCAAAATAATATTTTTTCATTACCTACTAATCTTACTAATCCTAAAATATTACCAATAGAAATTTCTGATGCCCCTGAACGTGCTACATGTTTATTTAAATAATCTACTTCATATCTGCGGTTTAATTTGATCTTTCCCACATATACATTCTACTTTTTTTTGCATTAATAATATGAGCAACGTATTTATGTTTAGCCAATCGCTCTTTACCATATTTCTAATGAAACATTATGTATGCAATACAGAAAAGATTTTTTTTTTCGAAAAAAAAATCCAAAAATGTACCAACAATAAGCAAATCCGACATCTTACCATCCTAAAATCCAATCAAAATTACGCAAAATCAAATTCTAACCTTATCAAAATTTTTCGATGATTGTACGCATTCCCAAATTCTAACATATTGATAGCCACTAAGATGGTGACGCATCTTCAGCTCCTACCTATATTAGTATTGTTCGGGGTCCTAATATGGTATATATTGATAAACATTTCTACATGAATATAAAGATTGCTCATTATATATTCATAGAATAAAATAACAAACCAACATAGAGAAATAGATCGAATATACTGTACATATCCTGAATGGGATTGCCAACACAACATAAAATAAGACGGAAAATCTTTTACAATAAAATAGAGTTCTTTCTACGGTTATTCTGAAAATTGGAATAACATCAATGCAAAATTGGCAATACAATGCAATAATAGATAATTTATATTTAAAATTAACGTCAAGAACTTGGCAATGATATTAATTTCTTGACATCCGATAAATACTTGGTAAAGTTTTCAATAACCACAAATTTGGGTAATCTAAATAATTTATACGTCATATAAGTCATTAAATAGATTGATTTCTTCACCAAAAAAATTCTTAAAAAAAAATTTTAAATAAAGAAAAAAAGTATCATTATCTCGTTAATTTCTATTCAATGTCGTCAAAGAAGTCATATGCGTGGCACTCCGTATGCTCAAAAAATTAATTCAAGAAACCATAACGGAAGAACTAAGAGAAGGGCTTCAAAGTTATGTCCTAATTGTAATGAAACAAAAGATTGTGTCAAGTTATTTTCTAATAAAGTATTCTAATAAAGTAAAAAGAATTGAAGAAATTATTAAAACTTATAAAAATTTTCCTAAAAAAAATACCAATCAGTCTTTATTCATGTCAAATTTTACTCTGAATAATAAAGATCGGAATATGACTTATCAAATTTCACCTTTATCATTAATTATCTGCACTTGCATGGTATCATGCACCCAATGCCCATCTCTAATCTTATCATAACACATTTCCCATTCTCCCTGGTTTTTTTTAATCCTAATATGTCGTTATATATTTATTCGGGTAACATTTCAGTTATTTGTTTAGAGGTTAAACGAATATTAAATAAACGATTGTTGCTATTGTTCACCTGCATAAATACTGTGATCATATCTCATAAGACGGGCGCAGCAGACATAAGAATTTTTTCTTAAGTAATTTGAAAACATAAATAAAAATGTTAAATGAATATTGTTAAAATTAACTAAAAATTCGAATTTTAAATAAACAAACTAATAATTTTTGATACAGAATTGGATATGACTATGTAAATAAAAAATTATCCAACTCCCGTGTTCGTAAAATTTAATCGCATTAATGAAAATCATTCCTTATTTATTTTTGATTGCATAAAATTATTCTAAAGTTTTAAATAATTCAAATTTATACAGACATTCTTTTTGATTTATTTAGTTATACATATTATTAATTAGCTAATATAAATTCATGAAATTCAAATGACTCGGTTCATTTTCATCCATTGTTGAATATTCAAATAACAAATAAAGTGAATCATTTGAATGTAATGTTAAAAATATTAATTATATTTAACATTTATTTTTTTATTTTATTATGAGATCAAATGACATGGTTCTAAAAATGGACTTTGGTACGGTGAAATGCACCTAAATATTTTAACAAATGACTTTATTCAACTTAAAAATCAGATATAATGGAAAGAAATTCGGAACAAATTTTTTTACGGAGTGAACTATTAAAATGTTATTAAATAGAACGATTATTTATTTTGATCAGGTGACTAACTAAAAAGGAAGTAAATAATCACCGTGTAACGAAAGACAATAATTGTTGTAATTTAAAACTTTAAGAGTTTATTGTCCGGAGCGAAGCGAAGGACAATATATGTCTACGCACTATGAAAAAAAATCGATCACGTGAATTTCTCTGTCCGCCACGTGATCGTCACCCAATGAAGTCACAAATTTTAGTTTTTCGCTCTGGGTTCCCGTTTCCTAGTTAACTAATTATTTGAATATAAACATTTTTGTAAAACGCTATCAAATTGGTAAAAAAAAATCATATCATATATACAGTATTATCATGAAACGCGGAAGTAGAAAAAAAATAATCTATTTTAGATGTTTCTTAGATTTTTAATATTTTGTGAAACTTATAAGTATTTGGATTCATTCGGATATTTCCGTATTATTCGAGTTTGTAAATTATTGTACACCAAGGAAAGTATACCAAGTTAGTTATTAATGCTTATTGATTTAAAAAGATAAATTATCAAGATGATAAAAAAGGAATTAAAGAATTTAATGTAAAGGGTTGCTTTAAGTATTATATAAGTGTCGATTGAAACTAACCTAATAAAGAGACATAAATGTACAAGCCATGAATTTCGATAATATCTTAGTAATTATTTCTAATGTGTAAAATTAGTGTTTGTGATATTTATTGAAAAATATTTTTTCTTAATTGCTCGAGAGTCGATTTTGCCTTGATAAATTGTAAATATTATTATTGCAACGTCGAGTTGTAAAAATTACCAATTTATGTTAAGTTATCTAAAAAAATTTTGATAAATCATATTCTAACTCGCAAGAT